ATTTGGCTGAAAAGTTCAATTATATTGACATTTTCGACTAATATCGTGGTGAGCTAATTTCTTTACATAAATAAGGAGGAAAAATTCTAAATTTATCGTTGATCAAAGGCACTTACTCTGTACATTTAGGAAGTATACAGATGCAGAGGATTAAAAAAATCAAGGACTCCTTGAAATTTCGGAAACAAATGCATTCACAAGGAGAGTGCAAGTCATTGTTTTAGGTCATTGATTTAGTTGAAACTTTGCAGGTTTGTTGATGCTCCTTGTTAACCAAAATTTGTGATTCCTATAAGATATACTAAAACTACAGCTTCGAAAATGATCGAGTGGAAATTTCAAATGGGACACCCTGTACGTGTAACCATTTATTTGGAGTCTTCGTCTCTTCCTTATCAGATTCTTGAATTGGAAGTATGAAAAATAAATAGATAATTATCGTTACAATTTTTTTTTGTAAATTTAAATTCGGTCAAAAATACTGTTATTTTTATTTTATTTTATATCATCGATGTGTAGGACATATTTTCTAGCGTCCCTTCACTCTAGAGAGGTAACGGTGGTTAAGATCTATATTCAGTTAGCAAAAAGCTTTCGAGTGCAAAGGGTTGATAATTATTTTATATGTGCGATGAAGTGGAAAAGATTGAAATTCACTGGGTCAAGTAATTAGGTGGATGCACATGTGGAGATTGATCGAGATGATTGAACGTGTTTGGAGGCAGCTACCGTAGGAACTCGATTATTCGAATTAATTGGAGAACATGCATGTTCAAGTACGAGAATATTTTTAATACTTTATTTTCACGAATTTTCATTTCGAAAAGAATCCTGTGAATCCGTGAAGCACGTAATACTATATCTATATTGTAGGATGGCGGAACTGGTCTTGAGACACCGAAAATTGACGAAGGAACAAGAACACGATAACACAAACTCAAAACTCGTAAACTGATTTTGGAAAGAACACCAAGATAACGAAAACACACAAAGACGCACTCTTTTAAAACTCTCTTTCCAACACCAAGCGACTCACGCTTGTGCTGGTCACAACCGATTTCTATGGACCCTGTTTTGGTCGTCAAGGACCTGCTTTTATGCTTTTCTTAACCTACGCTTCACCTCCCCGTAGGGGAGCCACTCAACTTAATTTTGTTATATATTGGGTTGGCAAGAAAGTACTTTCGGTTTTTTAGTGTGCAATAAAACTCAATTGTTCCTATACAGTAAATAAAATTTTAATCGGTCAAATATCATCCATTCTATTCGATGACCTTTTGCCATCTTTCTGGTAGCTTCGTGATCCTGCGCTCATAGAATTTCTGGTCCTTAACTGCAAAAAACTTAACCAAGTGCGTAAATCTCAGATCGACCAGAACGTTGTGGGTACCTTACAGTGAAAAATCTTCAGAACGAAATTTTTTAAACTAATTCTGACACGTGCGTTCTGTTAAACAATCAACATCATAAACTTCTGATATCTCTTTGTGAACCTCAGCCGCATTCTTGCCTTTATGAAAATAAAAAAGTAAAATGTGTCGAAAATGCATATTTTTGCACTCCATGATAAGACTGACCGTGAACTGACAATTCTAAACGAAATTACACGGAATTTCACGAAATAGCAACCTAAATGTATCGACTACCACATCTCAAAAGAAAAATATTCTAACATGGACAAAAGAATAACTAAACAAGCATAATATTATTTACTGATGCAAACCGAAATTTCTTTGAGATCGTCCTCAATTGGCGACGATTAATGACGAACTAAATTTCTTGAAGAACGTGTTTCCAAAGGGAAATCGGTTTTCCCATTGGTGGTTGACAGGACCGAGGGTGGGCCCTCGGTCCGCGAATCAGATGCCCCCAAAGAAGGGAGGACCGTCTTCCGCGACCAGGTCTGCCGGTGGAGGAAGCCTCTCCCTCAAAGGGGGTTGCTGGTGGGTCACCCGCACATTCGTGACCCTTCCTGAAGGACCCGTTACTTTATGGCTCCGAAAGTCGCGACATCGCACATGGCCTGGTCCCTTTCTTTGCAGGCCTATTGTCAGCCAAATCCCAAGTGCTGTTGCCTGCTTTCTAACATTAGTGGCTAAAGAATGCCTCGTGTCCGGTGACCCGAGGGAAATAAAGAATTGTTTGAAAATGCATTGAAAATGAAGATAGAAAGGACACGGAACTCGAACTAAAACAGCAATTAGAATCTGGCTGTCAGAAGACCCTAACTGTCTTCTGGGTCTATTCTAAACAAAGGGCCGAACGAAATACCGGCACGACATTCCAAGGCTTAACACCAACCCAATAGAATAACTTTTCAATTTGCTTGTAGAAGATATCGATCGATTTATAATTTATTTTTGTTGGCAATAGCCGATTCGCGATTTCTTTTGGTATCCTACAATATACAGCAATTTTTCTTTTCAATGCTCGATCTTCCAGCACCTTCTTTATTTTTCGCTTCAATATAAGTTTCTAATACATCAGCTTCTCGTGTAAGTTATAGTAATCTGAACTAGCCAGGTCGTATCAGGAGTCGAGTGATATACTGATCATGCTATTCATCTACTGCAGTCAATGAAAGTTCATTACGTTTGAACTGCATCGGTCAATTAAGGATTTCAAAGCTCTGAAGTATAAGCCTGGTTTTTCAGAAGAAATCCCCTAGACGTTTCCCTAGCAGTGCAACTAGCTTCATTAGACATCAAACTACACATTAATATCACTGTCAGTTCCACTAATCAAAGACACGTGTACAACACAAACTTGCATGGTCTTCCAACGAACGAAAATCATGTCGCTGCATACCGTGCATTACTGAATTAAATGTAAGTGTTGGTCCTATATGTGTGAATGCGAACGAGGTTGAATAAGTGAAGCTCATTTGCTATGATATAAATATAATATGTGCCAGTGTAAAACAGTTATGTGAGAATCGTCAAAGAGGAAACAGGGTTAATAAGAGTGAGAGAGAGAGAAGAATTGTCTAGAAAGTGTCAATCGATTATTTGGTTTAAAATAGTTTATTGCGAGTTGTTTTCGTTATTTAAATATTTTTATCCAAATATACTAATGTGTTAACTGTTAAAAAACGTAGAAGATATTGGTGTCCATTTCTATCCAGAGGGAGGATTTAAAGTTCACCCGAAAGTGACCTAACTTCGATGTAAGAACGAGCTAATTTCGGTCAACGACGACTTCCTATGTGTCATGAGATGGAGCAATCGTTGAGCTAAGAGTGACACGAAGAATCTAATCCCGGACCTCGAAAGCACCTAACATTGTTATAAAAAGTTGAAGTTGTTCTAAAAAAAATTTAATTTTGATGTAGACCGATCCAATTTTTACCTAGGAACAACTCACTGTTAGTCTGAGAAGGTTCAAATGTTAAATTAGAAATGTAAGAACAATCTGATGCCAGTGTCAAAATGATCCACGTTAAAAACATGGCATGATCTATTTACGTGACACTAAGTTGGTAACATATGCTGACAGAGTAGTTGGATAAGCCACATCGACACTCTTATCTATATCTACATTTAGTTCTTTATTATTAGATCCGATAATCCTGGATCATTTACAAATTGTAGGTACTTTTATCCAATAATAAAAATTCTTGGGTTATATCTCTGGTAGATCTGCTACTTTATGACCAATCAAGCTTATATTGCTTTACACTCCTGGACTATGTCGATGTTCTATCACACTATGCACTCTCTATCATTTCCTTTTTGGAATCGGGACTCAGTGATCCTAATTTAAAAAATTTATAAATATTCGTGTGCTCTATGTTAATAACTAGTTAAAGCAGTTAGAGAAGGTGGATCTGTTATTCCATAAACTGATCAGGGACTCACAGTGCTATGCAGAGCTCAGAAGAGACCTCTAATACCAATACAGTCGCTATTCATCGATGATTCAGGCCAAACAGACACTATAATTTCCCCATTCTCGCTTTCCCATCAGAAGCCATTGTCGGATAACTAACGATTCGTTGGCCTTTAGTCACTAGAAGGTCCTAGCTAATTAGCGCAGATCAATTTCAGAGTCCAAAGACAACTGACTCATTCCTACTTTCACTAAGTGCCAATGTTCATCTTCACCCCATTAAAAACTAACATTATATAAGCCTCTACAAAATTTGCGAAATGCCAGTTTCTTCCTCTCTGCCGACTTGTATTCTTTTGACGTAGCCTTGTTGCTAGAACCCATATTGTATATAGAAATCCGGGTTCCAACACCACCTTCTGAGCTCTATGTAGTACACCATTAATCCTGGGCCTACAGTATCGTGTAAGATTCGTGATATAGAAATCGGGCTAAACTTATTAAAAACCATGATCTCTAGATAGGACCCAACGTAAACAACACGTGTCAAGCTCGTGGTTAATTTTCGCCCATGCCTTTGTGTCTCAGATCAGTGTCACACTTGAAAAGGTTCTAGGTGTGACCAACTTTGTTGCTGATTATGGCACGCATCATCGAATATTAAATCGTAGGCCAAGGGGTCAACCATTTTAAATACCAAACGGCGCGATAGCACTTCTCCTATCCTGTGTCAAGAACTGTCAACGCTATAAGCTGTGTTGACGACAGTTATTGTACACTCGATTATTGTAGATGAGTGTCTTCGTGGTTACCGTTTAGTCATAGGAAGATTAAGCCAAAATTGAAGTAAGGTTTGATATTCCCCAACGGATATAGACAGAGAACATAGGAAAATTAGGCCAAAATTGAAGGAACGTTTGATGTTCCCCAACGGATATAGGCAGAGGACATAGGAAAATTAGGACAAAATTGAAGTAATATCGAATGTTCCGGGGCGGATATAGACGGAAAGCAGATGCACAGTGCGTTTCTTGACATTTTATGGCACGGAATGAGACCAGAGCTACCGATCCGTTTGGCAGTTGCCAATCGGGGAACGAAAAAGACTCGTGACATTCACACGGTTAACATTTTCGGCATGGGTGGGAGAGATAGACATTCGGAGAACTCACCGGTGGTGAACATGGCGACTGCTTTGAGCGTGACCGGTTCAAGGACTACAGGATCGCTGCGGCCCTTCGCGTTGACAGCGTAGAGATGAAGCCTGTATTTACGACCGGGCTCCAGACCAGGAACCACAAAAACCGGCCCGGACAAGCTGAATCTCTCTGTGTGGTTCAGGTAGATGGTATCGACGGGATAAACGTTCTCCTCGCTATAGACCTCCAGTTCGTAATTAGTTAAGGGCAAACCGCCGTCAAATCCCTCCGCGCATCTGACGATCAGCCAGTCTGCGTCCCTCGAGTCCGTGGCTTTAAAATCCTCGTGACCTATTTCATGAAACGTGATGGAAAGCTTGGAGAAGGATGCTCCTCGTATAGACGGTATTTATATTTTGTCTTGCAAGTTTCTCGTACTTTATAAGAAGATAAAGGTGAATAATTACTTTGCGGGTAAAAAGTATAACAATATTTTCTTGCAAAATGCTGTTACCGACTTTGGGCGGGATAAGGGACGACGGGGTTTATTGGGTTAATCCTGTTGGATATGGAAATGGGTCGTTTTGACCCAGAATGTTTGATAACTAGTATATAATTGTTAGAGAAGGGAAGGAAGTTTTTAAGAATTTTCTCATGCAAAGAAATTGTATTCGTTGGATACGTTTATGAGATTTATATGAGCCGTTCACTGCGCAAATTGATTAACTCCATAAAACAAAAAGTGGAAAAATGCAATGAAATAATGTATATTGTTTTTCAAAATTCCCTTTATAATTTAAATCGAAATAAATATCGTAGAATGCGTAAATACAAATGTAACTTTCGTCTAACGGTATATAAAATTTATAAGAAAAAATAGCCAAAAGGTAATCGTTGGTAATGTTACCATTTTTATGTTACTGGAAGAGTTAATCGATTTGGCAAGTGAAAAAAGTAATAAATTTAAATTTTACTAAATTTTACTTAAATTCT